TCTTCTGTATCTGGACTGCTGATATTTTTTGTTGATATATTTTGGAATAATATCTAGTGAAAAATTTGTGATTTAATTTTCAAAAATTCATGTGGTAAAATGTTGGTGTGTTGGTTTTATGTCCAGCAAGTGGCGCTGTTTTTCAATGTTTGTCAATGTCTTTCAATGTTTTCCAATGTTTTTCATGTTTTTCCTGTCACAGGTGTGACATGTATATAATATAGGTATATAGAAACATGCCTGTAGTTGAATGCAATGTTGTGTCAAAATTTGAAAGCAATCGGTGAAGAACTTTAGGAATGTGCGGTTATGTACAAACGGACATTTAAATTTCATTTATTTAGATAGTGTGTGTGTGTGTGTGTACAGCATCATTTTTAAAATAATTATTTTACTATTATGTGGCATATATGCTGACATTTTTTTATTTTTTATTCTTGTTATGTAGATTGTAATTTATTTTACTTTTAATTTAACATATTGTTTCTTTCTTTTTAATATTTTGTGCATCCTCAACAGCTGTGAGACTATGATGGGATATCAAACAAACAAATAAGCAATCTGTAAGGCCATATTGTTTTAAAATGGAAGAACTTTTTTTCCTGTTTTCATACAAATGGGGAAAAGTTCTGTATTTCTTTTTAGTTTTCATTGCTGTCAGCAATTAAAGGCTGGTGTACAATTGTTTACATGCCATGGTTTCCTAGGTCTTGAATTTTGAATTGTTGATCTTTCAATTGTCATTATCAATTCCCACATCATTGTTTCAACTTCATCTCCTAGTGGGCAAGAACTTCTTGTGGAGACAAGTGCAAGTATAAATACTCTTAATGAGGCAGAGCTTGGGGAAACTTCAACTGGCTTACGATAAGACACTTTTACACATTATGATGATACTTGCAGCTTTGGTCTTTCTGCTTTTGCCTGAAATAATGTCCATGATTCCCAGTGCTAAATGTAGGACTAACGACCCTCTGCCTTTTCTTCACAAGCAATATCAGTCAGGAGATTTCATAATTGTGGGCATTTTCTCTCAGATCTACATCTACTATAGAATGATAGACTTCAGGAGACATCCATCTAAGGAGCTTTTTGGCACCACTGTGTAAGATGTTTTACAGAGAGACATGAAAAGAGAAAGAAGAAAAGGATATAGAGCAGAGAGAGGAGAGAGGGAGGGAGAGAGGGAGAGTATGTAAGGTAGGAAAATATATAGATGGACAGTAGATTATAAATATTAGATGATGAATGGATGGATGGATAGATAGATGAATGACAGACAGACAGACAGACAGAAACAGACAGCAGATGGGTTAGATAACATTACAAACTTTAAACTGAGTTGACCTATACCATCTATGATATTTTGGGAAGTATGTATTTTGACAATATATAATGCTTATTTTAGGGTCATAACTCCAATGTATCAGCACATCCTCGCTTTAGAGTTTGCCATCATGGAAATCAATAGAGTTATCTCTATTTTACCGAACCATACCTTGGGGTTCCATATCTATAATGCCTACTTTGATCCAAGTTGGACATACCGTGCCTCATTGGAGCTCTTCTTTACAAAGGGCCAATTCATACCTAACTATAGCTGTGATTCTCAAAACAGACCAATAGCAGTCATTGGAGGACCTTCCTCTGACATCTATCTGTACATGGGTAATATCCTTTCCCTGTACAAGATGCCACAGGTATGTTGTTTCCTTGGAATTTAGAGGCAGGAGATAAATATCCATATAATATTTTTTTTCTGTAAAAATCTTCAAGGGAAAAAATATTGTGATTGTAATAAAAACTTTACATTTTAGGAAATTTATTCCTCTAGAGACTACAAGTGAATTTTGGTGTGTTTTGGTTACACCACAGAACCTTAATTCTTCATCTTTTTGATGTTTGAAGAGGCTAGGTTTGGGGATATTTTTCAGCAAAATCAATATTCACCGAAGTGAGCATAATCTTTTCCCTCTTTTCTTTTTAATATGCAAATTTTAATCTGTTTTTTAAATGATTGGGGTGTTTTAATTTTTCTGGGCCAAATTGTTTAATTCAATTTTATCCTGCTTTTTAAATTTTGTATTTATGTATTTTACTGTTTGGCTGTTCACCGCCCTGAGTCCTTCGGGAGTAGGGCGGTATACAAATCAAATAAAGATAAAGAAGATAAAGACTCAAGATTCACCCAACCCTGTATTTGAGATTTTTTAAAGGAGTTAGTATTGATTTTGTTTCAATTTCTCTCTGGCCTCCTAACATTCTCCCTGGAAATAAGCTAAAATTATCTTGAAATATTGCATCAATAGTATTGAAAACAATTGGATAATTAAGTAATATATTGTAAATTAATATTTATCTTAATGATATTTAAGTTGGAGTGTACAAATTGCATTACTTAAATATTTAAGTGATACAGTTTGTGCTCTCTGAACTAAACCTTGTGTCTTGAGATATGATATTGGAAATCCCAGACATGGAGTTTATTCTGTAAGTTTTTCTATGGTAACCTAACATGATATGATTCATCTCTGAATTGTGAACTGGTGTTCTAATGCAACTCTGAACCACTGACCTATTTTGGTGATGCAGCTCAGCCTTGGAAGTGATGGCATAGCAATCTCCATGCACAGATGGAGATCTGCTGATTGAACTTGCTTAATTAAGTCATGAGAAATGCTGGACATTCCTGCTCCATTAGCTCATCTTGAATATGAACATGAAACTTACATAGAATCAGGCTTCAGTTTCTAATTTAGCAGACAAAATAGGGAGAGAATCTGATTGCACATCAACATTTTACTTTACAGTCATTTTTTTCCCTTTTATTGTTTATCTCTCTGTTTCTAGATATTGTATGGTTCTGCTCCTGAAATTAGCACAAAAGAACAAACTGCTTTTTACCAACAGATGTTGCCGAATATGGACAGTCAGTACAAAGGAATTTTTCAATTATTGCTATATTTCACGTGGACATGGGTTGGAATGTTGCTAGTAGACAACGAGAGTGGTGAAACGTTTCTGCACAGGGTGCTTCCCATGGCCACCCATAGTGGCATCTGCTTTGACTTCATTGCGAGATTTCCCAACCCTGTTCATTCAAATATTCTGAAAAAGATGATCGAAATAGGACTTAACATGTACAGATTTGTTATGAAAAGTAATGTCACTGTGGTGGTAGTTCACGGTGAAAGTGGTAACATGATAACTCTAAGGTTTCTTTCCAGTAAATTGAAAGACAATGATTTACCACTATGGACAAAAGGGAAAGTCTGGATTATGACAATCCAGATGGATTTCACGTCAAATCCCTTTCACCGAAATAAGGATCTGGTTTTCCTTCATGGTGCTTTATCTTTTTCAATTCACTCAGAGAAGATATTGGGATTCCACCAATTTGTTCAGATGAGACACCCTAACTTGGAAAAAGAAGACACTTTTATCAAGCTCTTCTGGGAAAATGCTTTTGAATGTTCCTTCCACCCCTCTGTAATGAAAAAGGCAAATGGGGCCACTTGTACTGGAAAGGAGAAACTGGAGGTTCTTCCTACATCTGTCTTTGAAATGGAAATGAGTGGCCACAGCTACAGTGTCTACAATGCTATCTATGTGGTGGCACATGCTTTGCATGACTTCTATTCATCTATAATGAAATACAGAGAAGGGAGGCAAATCAAGGGGAAACTTTTGAATCAACATTTATGTAAGGTAAAATCCCCCAAAAGACAAATTACTGATGTCTCACTCTATCTTCCTACTAGATTTCAGAAAAAAAAAAAGAAAAAAAAAAGAAAAACATTCTTCCAAGGATTCATTTGTCCAATTTAGGTGAAACTGAGAAGTTTTGGTAAATATAAAGTTAGCTATTTACTTTTTAACAGTCTAAGACCAAGTAAATGTAAAATATAGTATGCCAATGATATATCCATATGTAACAAAAAAGTTTCTATAAGCTAAATAGCAATAGCACTTAGACTCATATAGTCTTTCACAGTTCTCAAAACATACTCAAAATTCAATACTAGAAACTTTATTAACATATATTGAGGTCCTCATCATTACAAATTTAACATTTTAAGCCTTCTGCAACATTCACCCCCTTATATTCTTTTATGTTGTCCTCAATATAAACTTGTTTCTCAATTATTTTTTTCAAAAATCTGCTAGAAATAATTAGTCCGATTTAAATTTCTGAATAGTCAGATCTAGTATTTTATTTTATTTCTTCTGTTTCATTCTGATGCTATGAAGATTCTCTATTCATAGTTACAATCAATAATGTAATTTATTATTGCAGTTATTATTATCTTTCATGTTTTACAAACCTTGAAAGGATTTCTTGTCTATATACTATAAAGGGGAAAAAGAGTGCTGTTGTACATCCATATATATATCTCTGTTTGGCTTATTTTTTAATTTAGCTCAACTACATGATCAGAAGAATTTCATTTAATAATAGTGCCGGGCAAAAAATTGGGTTCAATGAAAATGGAGAATTGGAGACTGGATTTGATATTATCAATTGGATCACATTTGAAAATTTGTCTTTTAAGAAAGTCCAAGTTGGAGGCATAGACCTCAAGGACTCCAATGAAAATATGGTCACCATTTATGAAGACGATATTGTGTGGCCAAGCAGGTTTAACCAGGTACGGACCAGTCACATTGTGTTCAGTCCAGATTTCACTACTTCTAAAGCTCACTAAGAGCCAAACTATTCCATAGCAATGAACCTCGGAAACAGAATTATATTCTCTCCCTGAAGCCTCTCCAGCCTGGCTGTTTGTTTATCCGTGTCAGTAGCATCACAGTTAAAGTAAGATGAAACATTCAAAAATATAAAATGCAGGATTAAAATATGTACAAATTAAACAGACCCAAGAAACTAGCAACATCGATTGTGTTCCATCATGCTGCCATGAGGTCCTGAAACATACACTGATAGGGGCACAAAGGGCAGACATACATATGTTTTGTTGTCTGAATGTCACCACAACCTGAAAGAGTAGAAGTAACTGGTGTTCACTCTTTGAAATTCTTCAAAGTCTTCCATTCACCTAAAGAAGCTTTTCCTGGATTTTACTCTCTGCTGAGCTGCTTATCGGCCACAGAGTGGGTCCTGTCTAGATATTATTTGAGTCTTTCTCTATATATGCTGCTGTTAAGATATCCGGGTGTCCCTTCGACAACAGCTGGCTAATCCTTTCAATCCAGAAGCATCCAAAGCACAGTGAAGTGCTGATTTCCACCAGTGACACTCTTTGTATCTAGTAATAATAATAATAATAATAATAATAATAATAATAATAAATAATAACAACAACAACAACAACAACAACAACAACAACAACTTTATTGTCATTGTACATTTATACACAGTATACACATACAACGAAATTCACTTAACACCTAAAAATCAGATCCAACACTCATAACAATCCCCAAACAGACTCCCACCCACCACAATTCCCCACCCCTAAACCACCCAAACATCCACACAACAGGTAAAGTAATGCTCTCCAACAGCTCACTGATGGTGGCTTTAGTTCATTGGGTTTTTTTTTTTTGAATTTTTTTTATTTTTTAAACAAAACATAAACATAAAACAAATCTATCATCCATTACAATTACATACTGTGTGTCAGTCAGTTACAAATCTTTTGTGCTTCATCCCCGCATTCAAAATTTACTAATTATCTAATTTCTCATACTGTCAAACAAATTAGCATCCTCATTTATCCTTTATTTAACTATGGCTTTATCACTTCATAATAATTATTTCCAAATATTATATTTATAACATTCATATCATATTTCTTATTTCATTTCCATGTTTTATTATCTAGCCATTGATAAAATAAATCCCATATCTTATAATATTGTTTATCTTCTTGTTCTCTAATTTCAAATGTCAATTTACTCATTTCAGCACATTCCATGATTTTCTTAATAATTTCATCTTGCGTTGGTATTTTCTCATTTTTTTCATTTTTTAGCAAACACAATTCTAGCAGCTGTTAAAACATTCACAATCAAATATCTCAATTCTCTATTGTAAATTTCTGGAACAATCCCTAATAAAAAAATCTCTGGCTTAAAGTCTATAAGTTTTTTTGTCATTTTTTCCAACCATGTGTGGATTTTAGTCCAGTATCTTTTAGCTTCTACACATGTCCACCACATATGGTAATATGAGCCCAGTATCTGATGACATTAACCAGCATTTCTCAAATTTATTCTTGAACATTCTCGCTATTCTTGTCAGGGGTAAATGCCACCTGTAAAACATCTTATACAAATTCTCCTTAAACGCTGTTGACATTGTCATTTTATAATTTTGCATCCACAATTTTTGCCATTTCTCTAAATCGATTCCATAACCAATTTTTCCCCCCATTCAATCATTGTTTCTTTAACTTGTTCTTCCAATTTTACCTCTAATAAATAACCATACAATTTTTTAATTACAGTAGTCATCAGAACCTGTTAAAATTTTATCTAACTTAGCAAGTTATTGTAAAAGCCCTCTGTCTTAGAATCTTTATCATATCTAAAATGTATTTGCATATATGAAAACCAGTCCATCTTTATCTCCTGTTATTCTAATTCTTGCTTCGATTTAAGTTCACCTTTTCATTCAATAATTTACTATATCTAACAATTTGTTCCTTTCTAAATGTTATTGAATATGAGAATGCTTCAATAGTAGATAACCAGATTGGAATTTTTAAATAATGTTGTCTTTTAATCTTCTCCCAATTTGATAGCAAAGACTCTTGTAAAACGTGTCTTCTAAAATACCCCTGTGTTTTTGTGCTCTTGTACCATAAAAAAGCATGCCAGCCCAACAACAGCTCATGTCCTTCTAAAGTCAACAATCTAGTATTTCTTAACATTATCCATTCTTTGATCCACTTAAAATTAGTTGCTTGATAATATAGTTCCCAATCCGGCAATCCAAAACCTCCTCTTATTCTAGCATCTTGCAGCAATTTTAATTTTATCCTCGCCTTTTTACCCTGCCAAATATATTTTAACACTATTTTATTCAGGTCTTCAAAATAATCTTTTCCCAACCTAATTGGAATTGTCTGGAACAAATATAAAATTCTAGGCAATATATTCATCTTAATGGTTGATATCCTCCCTATCAATGATAATTGCAAATTCTCCAAATCTGTCACTATCTGTTGTTTAAATTTATTGTAATTATTCTCCTTAAGTGTACTGCATCTTGCTGACAAATATATCCCCAAGTACTTAACCTTGTTTGTGAGCTGCATCTTTGATATGTCCGCCAATTCTTCTTTTTGTTTTTTTAATATATTTTTTGTCAAAATCTTCATTTTATCTTTATTTATTTTCAAACCTGCTATCTTTCCAAATTCTCCTATTTTGTCTATCAATTTATTTATTGATTCAAATGGATCTTTCAGAATAAACACCAGGTCATCAGCGAACGCTTGCAATTTATATTCTTCATTTTGAATTTTCATTCCTTTTATTTCTTTTTCATCTCTAATATTTCTGTTTAATACTTCTAACGTTAACACGAACAAAAGTGGTGACAGTGGACAGCCTTGTCTCATTCCTTTTTGTATTTCAATAGATTCAGTTGATTCTCCATTTATCATTACTTTTGCTGTTTGTTTATGATATATGGCTTCTATGGCTTGAATAAATTTCCTCCCAAAGCCCATCTGTTTAAGCTGTAGTAGCATAAATCGCCAATTCACATTGTCAAAGGCTTTCTGTGCATCTAAAAACATCAAAGCCATTTGCTTTTCAGGGTGTGCCTCATAGTATTCCAAAGTGTGCAGAATTATTCTCAAATTGTCTCTGATCTGCCTTTTTGGCAGAAATCCATTTTGATCTGGATGTATAAAATTATTTAAATATCTTTTAAGTCTTTCTGCCAATATTGTAGCGAAGATTTTATAATCTGAATTTAGCAGGGATATAGGCCTGTAGTTCTTGACTTGTTGTAGGTCAGCATCCTCCTTTGGGACAATGTAATATATGCTTCCAACCATGATTTGGGTATTTCCATCTTTAACATTACTTCATTCATAACTTCTAACAATGGAAGACTTAATGATTCCTGTAAAGTCTTATAGTATTCCGCTGGCAGTCTGTCCAGGCCTGGCACCTTTCTAATCCTTTGTTTTTTAAGTGCTTCAGTCAATTCCATCATCGTTATGTTTCCTTCTAACATCATCTCAGTATCTTTGGAAATCTGGGGTAGGTTCGCTTTATGTAAGTATTGTTTAACACTTTCCTCCTCTATGTTTTCTTTTTCATATATTTTTTTAATAATAATCTTGTACAATATTTTTCTTCTCTTCATTCCCAAATCTAATTTGTCCTTGTTCATCTACTAATTGTATTGTTTCCCTTGAGTCTCTCTCTTTTTTCAATTTATATGCTAGCCATCTACCTGGTTTATTGGCATCCTCAAAGTAGTTCTGTTTAGCACTTCTAATTTTTTGTGCTAGATCTTATTTTTCCAGCAATCCCATTTTATGTTTAGTTGTGTCCATTTTCATTTTAATATCTTTTTTTTGGTGGGAATTTCTGTAATTCATTTTCAAGTTCCTTATAATCATCCTCTAATGTTTTATAAGCTTGCCTTTTCTTAATATTTGTTTTCCTTGTATAGTCGATTATCAGGCCTTTAGCATAAGCTTTCATAGTATCCCACAGGTTTTGCATTGATGTATCCTCTTTTCTATTTTCTTTGGGGGGGAAAAAAGCAAATTCTTTCTCCATTTTCTGTACAAAATCCTTTTCTTTTAATACTGTAGTATTTAAAGTCCATCTAGACCTTCTCCTTTCTCCTTTCCATCTCACTGTCATTCGATTATGGTTTGCCCAGATATTAGCTTCTATATCAATTTCTTCTTCATTAGAAATCAATTCCATTGTCATCCATATCATATCTATTCTAGACCATGATAAATGTCTGTTAGAGGAAAAAGTATATTATCCCTTATTTGCATTTCTTTCTCTCCATACATCTTTTAAATTTATTTCCTCTGTTATCTTAAAAAAAGATTTCGGCAGAGTTCTACTTTGTTTTGTTGCCTTCTGTGTATTATAGTCCATTTTCCCATCTACTATGCCATTAAAATCTCCCATCATGCAAATATTTTCAGAATCCAATTCAGTTAATTTCACATGTAATTTTCTATAGAAATCTTCTTGATTGTCATTTGGAGCATATATTGCTATTAAGAGTATTTTCCTGTTATTATCTATCATTTCCACCATCAAAATTCTTCCTCTTCATCTGCGTAATTTTTTCCCGCTGATATTGTATCTCTAATATATAAAACCACTCCTCTTTTCTTACATTGTGGCAATGAAGCAAATAATTTCCCTAATTTTGGCTGTGTCAACATTTGTTCATGTTGTTTTTTAATATGCACTTCTTGTAGACAAATTATATCCAAGTTTAATTTCTCTAATTTATGAAATACCTTTCTTCTTTTAGTTGCTATATTAAGTCCATTTATGTTCATTGTAATCAATTTTTTCTCTTCCATATTCATACTTTAAATGAAGGGTTTGTTGCTCTAGTAGATCTCAGTTCACATTGTTCTTTATATTCTACAATGCCCCCTACTGCGCCTTCTTCCTGTTCAATCATTGCTAAATATTCCTCTTGCAATTCGACCAATGACTCTTCCCTTCTTAACTCTACTACCTTCTCTCTAAAATATTCAGCATAAAATGCTTTGGCTTTATCAATTGAATCTATTTTGAATCTTTGCTATTGCCATGTAAACCTCAGGCCCTCTGGTATCAGCCATCTATAATTCACTCCTTTCTGGAGCAATATTTTCGTCAGGAATTGATATTCTCTTCTCATCTCCCTCACTCTTCTCACAATTTGCTTCAGAACCACAATTTCCTTGCCCTTATATTTCAGCGTTTTCTCTTTTGTAGTCTGCAATATTTGCATTTTAATTGATTTCTTGGTGAATCTTATATGAACTTCTCTTGGTAGTTTATTTCTCATTGCATATCTTGTGTATACTCGAAATATCTCATCTATGCCATCCATCATCTTTTCTTTAGTGATTTCTAATGCTTCTGCTAAAATTTCTATCATTTTTTTTGGCCAAATTTTCTCCCTTTTCTTCTTCAATATTTTGAAATCTTAAATATAATTCTGATTTGTCCATCTCCCATCCTGTTCCACTCTTATCATATTCAACCTCATCTAATCTGCTATCCATATCTTTAATTTTTTGTCTCTTTGTTCTTCCTTTTCTTCAATTCTTTGAAGTCTGTCCTTGTATTTCTTCATCATTTGTTGTATGTTCTCCATTTTTTCATCTGTTTTTCCTATTCTTTGTTCAATCTTTTCTGCTCTCTGTTCAATGCTCACTATTTTTGATTGTATGTCTTGTATTCCTTGCAAAATCATTTGCATTGACACATCCTTCTCCTTCTCACGTTCCCTCTCCTTTTCCTATTGTAACATCGTCTGTATCAATCTTTGTCCTCCCAATGGTGAAAAAGAGGGAGTCGATGCAGAAGAACTAATAGCTGCTGCCTTTTTACTGATGACTATGAAATGCTTGCAAATTATTCAAACAGGAAAATATCTTCAGGTTCTTCTATACCTTAATCCGTTTTTATAGAGGACAGATATTATCCCAAATAACCATAAGCAAAAGGGAGATCCAAATAAAACAAAATCTTCAGGCTCTTGTGTGCCCTAATCCAATTGAGTAGAAAAACAAGAACCAAATTAGCAATCTCCAATCAAAAAGTAAAAAACAAAACAAAAAGTAATTTCTTCAGGCTCTTGTATGCCTTAATCCAATTAAATGAAGGAGTATTGAACACATTAAATAATCTCCCATCAAAAGGGGAAGAGAGAGAAAAAGAAGAGAAAACATGAGAAAAAAAAGAAGAAAGAAGAAGAAAAATATACAGTATATAAAAATTTTTAAAATATTAAAAGTCTTCTAAAAGCAAACACAATCCAATTGGAAATAATTAAAAGAGGGAGAAGTGGAATAATAGAAAAATAATACCCAAAAAAAGAAAGTTAAAAAAATCTTTCTATCTAAAAGAAAGGTCCACAACTGTATAGTATCCAAAAGTTCTTTTATAAGTCTCACCGAGTTTTACAGCTCTCTTTCCAGAGTCACTGCACTCTTCTTCTTTTAAGTCTCAGCTGCCTGTCAATAATAGTTTCCCAGAAGAGCACCTGAATAAACAATCCTGTAAACAGTCTTTGATGCTCTTCTGACTATCTTATCTATAAATTGACTCAGAATCCTTGAAATGTAACACAGTTGCTACTTTCTTTTACCAATAAAAAAAGATAGTTTTTCAGTCCACTAGATGGCAGTGTTTCTTGTTCCTTCCACTCTCCCTCTATGTCCAATAGACAGTAAAAGAAAATAAAAAAATAAAATGTACAGAAAAAGAAAAATAACAAGACTAATCCCCAATAATATAAAACTAAAAAGGCACTAAAAATTTGATAATTAAGCAGATAAAAAGGAACTATCCAATCTAATCCAGTCCAGTCAAATTTAAAGAATAAAACTCCATAATCATCCACAGATAAAAATAAAATGCAATGTAGGAAAAACTAACTGAGATTCAGGCTCAATTTCTCCACTTAACTTCTTCTATCTTCAATTTTGATTATCTTTTCATCCCAGGATGTTCTTAAAATCTATTTCAAAAGTCTCTAACCAAGCTGACACACCTTCACTCATTCTCTTCCCTTCCGGAGCTGTCCCAACTTCAGCAGCTTAATGGCTGCCTCTTCACCGCCAGAAAAGAGGGCTTCTCCTGGATCTACCAAGGACTTTACATTGTCCCTGGGATCAAAAGGATGTGCATTCCTCTATCAGTGTCTCTATGGGACAGTGAGGTCCAAACTGGATCGTCCAGCAGTGGAGATATCGACGGCGATCTCAGAGCACTGAAATCTTCTGTCGTATCGTCGCGACATCAACTCAGCCCCCCCCCCCCTTTTAGGTCATTGTTGAGTGCAATTATAGCTCTGAGAGAAAAACTATTCAGAAAACGTGTGGTTCGAGTTTTAATTTTTCTGTATCTTCTGCCAGAAGGCAACAGTCCAAAAAGATTGTAAGCAGGATGGGATGAGTCTCTGAGAATGTTATGCAACTTTTTCAAACAGCGAGATTCGAAGATGTCGTCCAGGGCTGGTAGCTGGAGTCCGATGATATTCTGGGCAGTTTCAGCCTACCTGATAGACTTAGAAAGTCATTCACTGGTGTTCCCTAGGATACCTTCTAGGGTAGAAGGTGGGTAAATGGAGAGAAATGGAGTAGGCCACAAGGAAAGTTCACACCTTGCATGTAAATTCTATGTGAAAACTTTGCCTTACAGATGTTCAAAAGCAAAGAAAGGCAAGCAACATTTGTAAATCAATGCCTCTGTAAAATGGTCTTTTTATTAGCGACAAATTAAGTATTGTGCTCTATGAGCTCGCACTGAGGCAAAAAGCTGTTCAAATCTTTTCCACCCAAAACCAGACTTTGCTGTCACATTATTACATTATTATATCAAAAGAAAAATATGATGGAAAGACATTTCTGAAAATACCGAAAGAAACTGAGATGCCACGTTTCCAAAGATAAACTTTTTTTTAATTATTTATTTATGGACAGACCCGGCCACTTTCTCTATGTAATGGGAAGTGCGATTCAGGCTACAGTAAGATTAAGATAGAAGGAAAACTATTTTGCTGCTATGACTGTCTTCAATGTCCAGAAGGGAAGATTTCTAACAGGGAAGGTAAGAGATATTTTATATATCTACCTCACCAAATGAATCTGGTTGTCAAATATACCATGGGGAATTTTCTGTTTTCTGCCAACTCTTTCACTTGGCAGATTAGACTAGAAAATGGGGATAAGTAATTGAATAGCAAGAATGTTCATTATTGGTAGCAAGAAGTGAATTTATGCAAATACTAGCTGAATATCTGTGCTTCGCTACAAAACTATGTGATCTGGCTTGACGAATTGACTCTACTTGAAAATTAATGCGTAGTTACAATCAGCCTCTCCTCTCCCTTTCTTTCCCTCAGCCTTGCCCCACAGAAGTCTTCCCTATTCTATCCCCTTCTCTCCTTCATGATTGTTAGACAGAGGCCTCTCCTCTCCTCTCCCCTTGTCTCCCTCAGCCTTGCCCCACAGAAGCCTCTCCTATCCTATCTGCTGGTTGCTGCTGTGAAAGTAAAACAGAAATTGAAACTCCTCTCCTCTGCTTGTGTTTTGCATTTGGAACAGTTTTCTTTTCAGGTGGGGAGGGGGAGTAGGACTTCTTAGCATCAGAGTGTGTTGATCCTAATATAGGAAATACTAATGCTCTGGTGGTCATTTCAAAAAATCCTTTCTTAATGAGCACCTAGAAGCCAAGGGAAACATATGTGGCAAATATCAAGTTTGTAGGCTTTACGGTTCTGGAGATTTCGTGATTACGGCATGAGTAGTTTTCGCTTTTATATATATAGATAAGTTGATGGCAACTAACTTCATGTACTACATATATTTTTCCAGAACTTAATTGGCAGTCCTCACTTTGAACAATTGTACAGTCAGTTTTTATTCTTTCAATGCAACTTCAACATCAATATTTTTATTCATAGACATGGATGAATGTTTTCAATGTCCAGAAGATCAGCATCCCAATGAGGAGCAGGTTTTGTGTCTCCCCAAAGTTACAACATTCTTGAACTACAAAGAAACCTTGGGAACAGTTATGGCTACTTCTTCTCTTTTCTTCTCTTTAATCACAGTTGGAGTCCTTTGGATTTTTATTAAGCATCAGGACACTCCCATTGTCAGAGCTAACAACCGAAACCTCACATATGTACTCCTTGTTGCTCTCCTGTTATCATTTCTTTGTACTTTGCTATTCATTGGGAAACCTCACAAGGTGACATGTCTCCTTCGTCAAACTGCCTTTGGCATCATCTTCTCAGTGGCCATTTCTTGTGTTTTGGCCAAAACCATCATCGTAGTTCTAGCTTTCATGGCTACCAAGCCAGGGTCCAAGATGACCAAATGGTTGGGGAAAAGACTTGGCACATTTCTAGTATCCTGCTGCTCCTTTATTCAAATTAAAATTTGTATTATATGGCTGATCATCTCCCCCCCATTCCCAGATGCTGACATAAAGTCAATAGCAGAAGAAATCATTTTGGAGTGTAACGAAGGATCTGCCTTCATGTTCTACTGTGTCTTGGGTTATATGGGCTTCCTTGCCATTGTCAGCTTCACACTGGCCTTCCTAGCAAGGAAATTGCCTGATGCTTTCAATGAAGCCAAGTTTATCACCTTCAGCATGTTGGTCTTCTGCTGTGTTTGGTTGTCCTTTGTTCCAGCATACCTGAGTTCAAAGGGAAAATATATGGTTGCTGTGGAAATCTTCTCCATTATAGCTTCCAGTGCTGGATTACTGCTTTGCATCTTTTCTCCCAAATTGTACATTATTATGCTGAGGCCCGATTTGAACAAAAAAGATCAGCTCAAAAGAGAAAAGAACAGAGTACCATAAATTTAATTTCTGTTTCCTATTTTGCATCAGGTATCAGGAAATTAAAACCTGTTGTGTCTAGGACCAGGGTAGAAACTAGGATATTGTGAGTTCTACTCCTGCCTCATACATGTTCTATTGTGGAGAAAAATAGAAGGAGGGAGAAGTATTAGATATTTTTGCTGCCTTGAATTAGTTATAAAAATGAATAATGGCAGGAGAAAGAAAAATCTTTTTTTAAAAAAAATCCCTCTACAGAACCCTTTAAATGATATATGGATCGTAAGTCCAGAACAACTAAATTTATAAGATACTAGACTAGAAACCAGTAGACTGAGGCCTTAGGCATGTATATATATAGAGATATTTATGGATAGATGAGAGAGGGAGAGAGAGAGAAATGAACATGGAGATAGACAGAGAAATATATGGATTTATATGGATATATATAATACATAGATATAGATATTTACAGTAACATTAACCATCAGGTAAATCTTTAAAAAAACACACCATAAAATTCTAATAATAAAATGCTCTGTTCTAAACTCTAGTTTTCACCCAGAGGGTAAATGGTGTTCATACTTGGGGGGGATGATGTTCCACAGGAGTGCATTATGATAGAGAAGACTGTCCTCCAAACCCCCAATTGATGGAATTCCTTTGGAAACCGGAACTTCACAGAACTTCTCCCTCAAAGCCTACACTATGAGGAAATGCAGGCTTGGAAATAACCAGGCCTTCAGTCATGGGTGGTTTAATTTTAGTTTTAGCTGTGATTACTCTGAAATAATTTTACAAAGCACTCTGTTCTTGGTTGCAATCCCATGATTTTTGTTGTTCTGTTTAATGCACAAGCCCAGAAGCCATGCATATTCATACAACCTCAATTTGTTCACACCTGTGACAGACTGGTATTGATTGTCAAGAAGAATGCCATTTTTTAAAAAAAATTGATTTATATCCTTCTCCGGAGACTCAGGGCAGCTTACAATGCGTTAAGTAATAGCCTTCATACTTTTGTATATTTATACAAAGTCAGCTTATTGCCCCCACAAACTGGGTCCTCATTTAACCTACCTTAGAAAGGATGGAAGGCTGAGTCAACCTTGAGCCTGGTGAGATTCGAACTTACAGTAATTGCAGACAGCTGGTGTTAATCACAATGCTTTTAGTCTGCTGAGCAACCAGGCTTGGTGGCTCAGCAGAATTTCTCAGAATTCTATGTAAAGCACTAAGAGCAAGATATTTTATTTATTTATTTATTTTCATCAAGCATGTATTAGATAATAGATACAAGTATAAACATGATTATGACTAATCATTGAGATTCGGAGTTGCCAATTGTTCAACCATTCAGTCCCATAATCAGGGTCGCTTTGTAGGGCAGCAGTATTGTCCGTGGTGTTGAATAGTTTTACATCATCAATGAAGAGCATGCAGCTGCTTATAATATGATTGCAAAGGTCATTTATGTAAAGCAGAAAGAGTGTGAGTCCTAAAATGCTGCTTGGGGGCCACTGCTTTTAAGTGGTGCAGGGTTTGATAGGGCGCTCCCTATTTTGACTACTTGTTGCCTGTTTGACAGGAACGCGTCTATCCACTGGTACAAGGGTCTGAAATGTGGTAAGAGCTTAGTTTGTGGTGTACCACTGAATCGAAGGCATTGCAGAAATCTATGTAAATTGCATCTATTGCTTTACCCTGCTCAAGTTGTGTGGTCCAACTGTTTCTGCAGTGTAGGAGTTGCAGATTACAGGACAAATTTTTCCTGAAAGCAAGCTTGTTAGAGAGTAGGTTCATTGCCTCTCAGTGGAGGGTAATGGATTGGTTTATGATTGATTCCATGACTTTGCAGGTGACGCAACACATTGAGATTGGTCTGTAATTTTCAACTTGGCTGGGGTCTCCCTGTTTGAAGATAGGAATGATTGTGGCCAATGACCATAGGTCTTGGCAAGGAAAATGGTTCTGAAAGATACCTGATAGATTGTGCTTAGAGGTTCGGCTATGGAAGTGGAAAGCTTTTTCAAGAAGTAGGGACATAATCCATCATAATTTCATGATCCTTTGTTTATTGTTTATTTGACCATTGGTTTACAATCCTATACCCATTAATTTCTCAACATGGGGCTGGAATATTTGAATCATTGCCTCTTCAGGTTTAACATCTGCCCATCCTACAGTATCAAATCTGGTAGAAGAGATATGTGGGTCTGTTTTGCTAAGGAATTACAAGTCTTTTCTGCCATAGCATCTATCATGTAGGACCTCCCCACCCCCAGTTGAGATTGTTCCCATTTTTCTTATCTTACCCCATCTTTCCTTCTATTACCTTCTCCTATTAGTATCTTTTGATTTATCACTTTGTTCTTTGCATCTTATGATTTATGATTGTATCTTATGATTTATGATTATGATTTATCACATTGTTGTTTGTATATACACTAAATGCTTATGTACTGTACACTGAGAGCTTATGTTTGTATGTACATTGTATATTTACTGTATGTTTGTAGTTTGTATGTACATTGAGAGCTTATGCACCAGAGACAAATTCCAATCACACTTGGCCAATAAAAAATTCTGTTCTGTTCTGTTCTTTGCCAATTTTGTGGAATCTTTTATCAACAGACCTGGGAGGTCACAAAAGAGAGGCAATTGGATCAGGTGGCTCCATTATTCATTTGATGCCCCCTCATAGCCTTTCATAATATTATTTTTTTTACTTCTTGATATTTTTTAAAGTTGTTTTTATGACACCCACATGATGTGGTATAAGGTAAAGGTTCCCCTCACACATGTGTTAGTTGTTCCCAACTCTAGGGGGCGGTGCTCATCTCCGTTTCAAAACTGAAGATGTCTCTGTGGTCATGTGGCTGGCATGACTAAATGCCAAAGGTGCATGGAACATTGTTACCTTCCCACCAAATGTGGTCACTATTTTTCTACTTGCATTTTTTACGTGCTTTCGAACTGCCTGGTTTTCAAAAGCTGGGACAAGTAACAGGAACTAATCCCGTATGTGGGGTATATGATGTGTGGCCATATAAATGTGATAAATCAAAATCTGACTTCATGAAAGCGATGGGGCACTCCCATGTGACACCCCTCCTACGTGAGCTGCACTGGCTCCCAGTGGTCTTCCGGGTGCGCTTCAAGGTGTTGGTTACCACATTTAAAGCGCTCCATGGCTTAGGGCCTGGGTACTTACGGATCCGCCTTCTGCCACCAATAGCCTCCCACTGGCCAGTACGCTCCCACAGAGAGGGACTCCTCAGGGTGCCTTCAGCCAGACAATGTTGGCTGGTGACCCCCAGGGGAGGGCCTTCTCTGTGGCAGCACCTGTCCTCTGGAACAACCTGCCCCCAGAGATACGTAGGATCCCAGATCTCCGTGCTTTTCACTGTGCCCTTAAAACTTTTTTATTTCATCAAGCTGGGCTGGCTTAAACCCCCCCCCCTTTATTGAAGCCAATAAAATCAGACTTGAAGTCACCAACATCCTCTGCTCCAGCAATCCACCCAGAAACAACTTATACCGAAAGGACCAAAAAGCACTCACCAACTTGAGGAAAGACAATAACATAATCATTCTCCCAGCAGACAAAGGCAATGCCACAGTGGTGATGAACACATCTGACTACCAAGCCAAACTATCCAACCTACTCCAAGACCCCGCTTACAAACCTCTAAACACAGACCCCACCACCTACCTGGAAAAAACCACCAAATCCAAAAGAAAAGCCTCTCCCATCAGTGAAGAGATCCAGCAAAGACTCATCCCCAGAGAGAAATCATCCAGATGCCCCAAGCTCTATGGTCTCCCCAAGATATACAAAGAAGGAACACCACTCAGACTCATAGTCAGCTCCATAGGCTCACCTCTACAGAATCTTGCCAAATTTCTTGCCAACAACTTCAGCCCGATGCAGAATCCATCAACTCATACATACAAAACTCATTCCACTTCATAGAAACAATAAAGAAACAAAACCTACAACCCAGTGACCTACTTGTGAGCTTCGATGTCATATCCCTCTTCACCCAAGTACCTATTAAAGAAGCCTTGACAGCAATCCAAAACAAATACAACCCCCCTAAACACATCCTAGATCTGACCAACCGCTGCCTAACCAACACATACTTCATCCACAATGGACAAAGATACAAACAGATAGAAGGAGCACTTATGGGATGACCCCTCTCACCCGTCATCGCAAACCTGTACATGGAACACTTTGAAACCAATGCCTTAGATAAATCTGAACACAAACCCAAACTCTGGCTGAGATATGTAGATGACAGTTTCGTAATTTGGCCACACGGGAAAGAAAAACTGGACAACTTCCTCACACATCTCAACAGCTTACACCCCAAAATACAATTTACTATGGAAACAGAAGCTAACAACAAACTTCCCTTTCTGGACATCCTAATCTACAAAAAACCTAATGGCTCCCTAGGACAGACCATCTACACGAAAAAAAACACACACCAACCGCTACTTAAATGCACAATCACATCACCACCCTGCACAGATCAACTCCGCAGCCAAGACTCTCATCTCCAGAACCAAACGCCTAGCCGACAAAGACCACCTGAAAACTGAATTACACACTCTCACAAACGTATTAATATCTAATGGATTCCAAAGAAACACTATCACCAACCTAATCCAAAGGGACACACCTCCCAAGAACCAAGACACAGAACAGGACAACGACATCGTCCTCCTCCCTTACATCAAAGGCACCACAGATAAAATCAACAAAATTCTCCAAAAACACAATATCAAGACAGCCTTCTGCACTGACCAAAAAATAGCCAACATCTTAAGAAACCCCAAAGACAAGATCCAGCTAGAAAACCAAGGAGTCTATGAAATACCATGCAAAATCTGTCCAGCCACATACATTGAACAAACTAATAGGAGAATAAATGCACGCATTGCAGAACACAAGAATGCAGTCAGAAAAGAAGAAAAAACTTCCTCTCTTTTCCAGCACCTTAAAGCTACAAGACATGAAATTGATTTTGAAGGAACCAAATTAATCTCCAAAACTGAACACCTCAACAAGAGAATAATTATGGAAGCCATTGAAATAGAAAAACGCCGCCATAACATGAATAAACATGACGATACCTCCCGCCTACCAGACATCTGCAAACTAGCCCTTGTCAACAAATGAGTCCCAGCACCCACAGACAGAAAAATCTACACCCCAGAAGCCAGACACACACACCCCGAGACGTCCAGCCAAATCACATTCCAGCCAGCCACAAAGATGAAGCCCTGCCACCTGGTGGAGAAAAACCGACCATACACCCAAAGCCAAGCCAATAGACACAGACTGCGACTCCCAACCAATCAGAATGAAGAGGTGGAGCCATCCCAGCAAAGCAGACTACCAGCACCAGATTTGAAATAGTAACGAAAGTTGCTGCAGAAGATCCCTTGCATAAGCCTGATGATGGCAGATGAGATTCTGCCGAAATGTTGCCAAAGTGCTCTCAATCTTACACGGGAGAAGACCCGAATACACCAAGACTTGCATACCTGTACCAGTGAAAATCAACAAATATACATACATACATACATACATACATACATACATACATAC